TTCATTCATTCATTACATCCAGTATTCACTCAAACCCTATATTCAGGTATTAAAAGGCAAACTGTAAACAATGAATGAAATACTCTTACAATACACACACAAATACCGTTACGCAACACATTAGCCCACAATATGGCTCCCTTTGGCCCCCCTATAGGCACACACAATAAGGCCGAGCGAGTACTCCTCCCCTCTCCACACGTACGTCATGTATGTGTCGTAAGAGTGTGTGTTTGTGGAGCCAATAGATGGCTCGACATGTGATCCACTGTTGAGTCATTGGTGTAGGAGTTGTGCAGTGATTGTTGGGTTAGTCATAGAGTTGTGCAGAGAATAGGACTGGAATTGAGTAGAGAATGAAAGCACAGAATATATGAGAGAATGAATGTTCAGTGCATTAATTGTAGACAACTTTGAATGCATTGAAAGCATAGGAAAGCATAGAATCGCATCTTTTTGTTCAATAATTGTTGTTTTCTATAATCCAAGTATTTATTGAGCATTAATATAGTCTCATAGTTTTAGTTATGATAGTTATGTTCAAATCATACATTTACCATGTATTTAATGTACAATACAGTACAGAATAACTTATTAAGATAGAATCGTATTTATGACCATGCACATATCGCACAACTTGTCATAAATAATCATTATTAATAATTTATTATATTTATTTTATTTGATTATAACTATTTCATTGGAAATCTTTTAGTCATTTTATTTATTACTAAATGTACACATAATTTGATATACAATTTACAGACAATTATACAATTTATTTATTAAAACAACATTTATTTACAATTATATATAATTAACATATTATTTGAGCATTTATTACAAATATTTATACAGTATATACTCAGATATTTTGTAAAACCGTTAGTTACTTTGTTAACTAAGTTTGTAATTTCAGATTGTTTGTTAGTTATCACTCTTTCTTTTAGTTATGTTCAAAAAACAGAAAGTTAACATCCGAATTTAACAGGGCTATTTATGTGATATTAAAATTGTTTCCAGTTTTACCATAATTTCAAATGTCATCAAATGATAACTATATGTGTTATCTATTATTTTAAAACTACAGTAATATCTAATGATAATAATGGGCCACAAGTGGCTTAACATCCCTTTCCTTTTGCTTTCAATGTATTTAACTTAATGTCTGTTTGAATTGAAAATGGTTTGCAAAATGAGATATTAGTGGAAGAAAACACTTTTCAGTTCATATCTGTCTCTCCATTGTTATGCAAAGGACCGGCTTTTGACAGTTTCCGATAGTATTTGCATATTATAACAAAATACGGATCCTTTTCTTTGGTTAGCCATTGAAAGGAGTTGTTGTTCAACACTTGATGCCATACTCACCACAAAAACGCATCCACAAAGATCTGAAAAGAAAGGAAAGTCACGGTTTCGGCCAATCCGGGCACTCGTCAGAGGCTTCTGTGCCGTTGAATATTGACTCATATGAGCGTATATTTAACGGCAAACACCTGACCGTGAATAGGGAGGGGTCGGGTGGTTAAGGATCGGGGGATTAACGGGATTTAAACACATTAGTGGCACATTTGGGATAACGCTTTCATTAGTGTCTATTGAAAGAGTTATGGCTTAGGGTTAGCATTAAGTGGGAATTAAGGCTTTCATTACGTTCAGAGATTTGGGAGTTTTAACTATAATTTATAGCATTTGAATGTTAGGTAAGTTTAGGGGTTTTGGTGGTTGAGAGGCCAGTGTATAGTCCTATTACACGGCCGTCTTATTGTGACTTAAATAATTGATTTGCAATTCAATGATTTTCAACACAATAAGACACTATCTATTAATGGCCTCTCAATTGTATTAACAATACTAATCAAAAGTATTTAATGAAAATAATCNGTAATGAATGAATGAATGAATTGTTTAATTAAAGTATTTATTAAAAGAGACATTAAATCAAAAGCAATGACTCACTAATTGGACCAAAAATATGTTTCATTCATTAAAATAGCATTAATTATGCTTTCATTCAAACGATTCATAAATTATATAATATTTATATTTATAAAAATGTGTTTAATATTTATTGGCATTTAATTTCATAATTAAATTATTAGATATTTATATATAACTGAAAAGTTATGGTTAAATATTAATCATTATTTATACCATTAAATGATTAATACATTTATTTATTTAGAGATATATTTATTTTTTTGAACAGAAATATACATTAAATTCAACACAAGATTTAAGATTTGTTTTAAAAATCAAATTAAATATTGATTTTATTGGACGACAAAAAAGTGTTAATAATTTGTTTCATAAAAAGTTTATTTCCTTTTAAAGTCTTTTTATGTCATTTGTATTAAAAGTGTGTTTTTTATAACAATGTTTAGTTTCCTATCATTTATTGATGTTTTGTTATATGAAATGCATTTCAATATGGATTTAATTGTGATTTAAAAGTTTGGGTCTATTTTGAGACCAACTCATCGTTTATTCAATTGTTTTTATCATTCAATTATAAATTCATTGTTTCGCTTAATTGCCTAAAAATGTCTCAACTGTTCCCTGAATTGTATACAAAGGTATGTCTTAATCATGTCTTCAGGACATTATGTTTGCATTTTATCTCATAATTAATCAATGGACTGATTGTACGGCAAAAGGGATCCAAGATATGGATCAAACACTCAACAGATGTTTGGCAATGCGCTGTCATTAAAGTGAATTTCAGTCAAAAGGATAAAAGTCTTGTCGTAGAGGATGAAGAAGAACAGGTGATCATTGGACTCAACGCTGAGATATTGATATATTTATTAATTATTTGATTACTGATTAGGAAATAACATTACCGGTGAAAGACTTGTCATGTCTGCCGCCTCTGCGAAACCCAGACATACTGATCGGTGCCAACGATTTGACGAGTTTGTCATATCTTCACGAACCCGCAGGTCTGAGCCCCCGATCCCCTAAATATTTGGTCCATTAATCACATAATTTGCTATCTTTTTATCCGTTGTTCAGTGCTCTACAACTTAAGGGTCCGATTTCTGGAGCAGTCGGCGATATACACGTGGTGTGGGATAGTATTGGTGGCAATCAATCCATTCTGTGATCTCGAGATCTATGGCGAAGAGACCATTCAGACGTATCATAAATCGCAGGGCGCGGCACAACTCGACCCTCACATCTATGCCGTGTCCGAAGACGCCTACTCTAAGCTCGAAAGGGATGACAGAAATCAATCCATTATTGTCAGCGGCGAGAGTGGAGCCGGTATTTGGTTTACTCTATGGTTTGCGTGAGAATTATATTAATATTAGTGTGATTTATAGGCAAAACTGTTTCGGCAAAGTTTGCGATGAGATATTTTGCATCCATTGCGGGCACTGACTCCTCCAATATTGAGAATCGGGTTTTGGCCAGTAATCCAATTATGGAGGCCATCGGCAATGCAAAGACCAACAGAAATGATAACTCATCGCGTTTTGGTATTTTTATAACATTGTTTCATTTGTCACTTTTATTACTATTGTATAAAATCTGTTTACAGGAAAATACATCCAAATCTTATTCGATCGTCAGAGTCGGGCCATAACGGGTGGAAATATGAGGACATATTTGCTGGAAAAATCGCGAGTCTCTCGTCAGAGTGAAGGCGAACGCAATTTCCATATATTTTATCAAATGTGTACTTATGCCCAACAAAACAATCTCAAGCATTTAAAGTATTGATCATTAATTGTCATAATATTTATGCATTGAAATAATTGAATTGATTGCAATTCAAAGGTTGGATTCCAACACAGAATTTGCATATTTGGCGTCAATAGAGCCGACGCCGTACGACGATATGGACAGATTCATCGAAGCCATGCAATGCCTGGGATTCACGGAAAAGCAACAAAATCTAATCTATAATGTGGTCGCAGCGATACTACACGCCGGCAATATTGAGTTCACACGTATTGATGACGAGAAGTGTTGTCTTTCCGACGATTCTGAGCCTCATTTGCAGACTTTTTGTTCACTTTTGGGTTTGTTTTATTTGATTGTAAGTATTTGTAAACTAAACTATTGTGTTATCCCTTAGGTCTGGACTCTTCGGCTACCAAACAATGGCTGACTCATCGATTGTTAAAGACTGGAATGAGAGAACTCATTACAACTACTTTGACAGCAGAATTGGCTCAATACGGAAGGGATGCGCTCTTGAAGTTTATTTACGAGACTATGTTTTCATGGATTGTCGCTCTCATTAACAAAGCACTCGGTTTGAAATGATTTAACTATTTTAGTTAATAGTAATTAATATTGTAATTTTGATAATTAGGTCCAACCAATACCTCAGTAACCTATCCGTTCATTGGTGTTCTTGACATCTATGGTTTTGAACATTTTGAAACCAATAGCTTTGAACAGTTTTGTATTAATTATGCAAATGAAGTCCTTCAGCAACAGTTCAATCAACACGTTTTTAAAGTAATGATTCAATTGATATGATTGGAAAAATGGTTGTCATTAATTGAATGCAAACTTAATGTTTTAGTTGGAACAAGAAGAGTATGTTCGGGAAGGCATTGATTGGCAGTTCATCACATTTACAGATAATCAGCCGGTGATCGACATTATCGAAGCCAAACCTATTGGCATATTATGTCTACTCGACGAAGAATGCAAAATGCCTAAAGGTTTGTCTCATAAGGCATTGATTGGCAGTTCATCACATTTACAGATAATCAGCCGGTGATCGACATTATCGAAGCCAAACCTATTGGCATATTATGTCTACTCGACGAAGAATGCAAAATGCCTAAAGGTTTGTCTCACTTGCTATACAATTGTCGTTATTATTAACTTTATTATACATTGGATTTGATGCAAATCAGGCACAGACGAGACGTGGGGCGCAAAGCTTTACTCCCAAATAACTCTCGGAGAGGTCTTCCAAAAACCCAAATTTGGTTCTAGAAATTCATTTATTATTCAACATTTCGCTGACACTGTTGTATACAATGTCGAGGGTTTGTCTTAAATTGAAAGAATTTGTAAAATGTGTTTAATTGGTATTTATTTGTGCGAATGATTAGGCTTTTTGGAGAAGAACAGAGACACGATATGGGACGAGCAAATCGATCTGTTAAAGCGATCCACTGTTGTTGACGTACTATTCAGCGATGGTTTGTCGGGAGAGCCGACACAGAAATCCGGTGGAAAAATCAAAATAACTCCTGTAATTAAATACTATATTTCTATCGCATTTCAAGTTTATTAACTTAAAGTACATCTCAATTGACAGCAACAACAGTCACAGAAACAGCAAAAGCAGGCGAAGGCAACGGTTGGCTCCCAGTTTCGGGACTCGTTGGCTGCGCTGATGAAGACGTTGAACGCAACGGAACCGCATTACGTGCGATGTATTAAACCCAACGATAATAAGGGTGGCTTTGAGTTCAACAATATCCGAGCCGTTCAGCAATTGCGAGCGTGCGGTGTATTGGAAACCATCAGAA